CACTGGGGGAATTTGGGAGCCTCCTGGGGACCCCCGTTGTGGCACCTCCCTAGGGGGGGGGCACAGGGGGTCCCCCAAACCCCACAGCCCCCCATGAGCCTCTCCCCTCTCTGAACCCCTGGGAATTTGGGACCCCTCGTGAGCAGTGAGGCGGGGGGGGGGTGTCTCTGCAGCTCCCAGGAGGTGAATTCCAGAGGGAAATCCACTGGCTGGGCCTTTCCTGGGGCTGGTTAAGGATTAAACAGCTCTGTCACTGTTTAATCCAGGCGGTGACAGGGGGCCCCTCCCGGCCATGGCAACCCCAGCCGGCCACGGGCGTGTTTGTCCCTGACCCCTCCCCATTCCCAGGCTCCTGCTTCCTGCCTGGAATGACCCTGCCCTTGGCCTCGGGGCGGGGGGGCCCCCTATTTATTCTATACTGTGTATAAAGCCAAGGGCCAGGGCGGAGTGAAGGATGGAGGAGGTGGAATAAAGGATGGAGGAGGTGGAATAAAGGATGGAGAACATGGCCCCTCTGTGTCCTTCGGGAATGATGCTCAGGGTCGGTGGGATCAGGAATTTTACCCTCCAGGCAAGAGGCAGGAGGGGAAGGGAAAGTACACAGGGATGGGGAAGGGAAAGGACATACTGGAGATGGAGCTGAATCTGATGGAAAAGGGGGAATTAAATAGATGAGGGGAGCAGAGAGGACAGGGAGGGGAGGGATGTTCTGGCCCTCAGGGGTGTCGGATGGAGAAGAGGGAACCACACAGACCAGGGGAGTAGAAAAAAAACAACCAATATACAATCCTCAAATATACATCCCGGGGCTTCCAAAGGGTCCCGGGGGAACCGGGACAGGCCCGGCGTCCTGTCCGGCTGCTCTCAGTGCATTCCGTGTGTCCCAGCGGTGACACGGACACGGGGACAGCCCTGCAGTGGTGGTGGGTGATAGTGCCAGTCTGTCCTTCCCCGGGCACCCCCCGGCGTGGGGGGGTCACCCCTCTGTCCCCACACCTCGCTGTCCCTCAGCGTCCTGGGCTCTCCCAGCCCCGCGTGGCCGGGGCCACCCCCAGGGGGGGCAGAGGGGACAGTGCCCAGCCCCGTGGCCGCGGCTCGTCCCTCCCTGAGCTGCCTCGGCGAGGTCGGGGGGGTCTCTCACACGGCCTCGGGCCCGGCCAGGCCCAGGTACTCGGGGTTCTCGGCCGTGGGCGTCGCGCCGGGGCCGCCCTCGGGCCCCCCGCCCTTGGGGGGGTCCTGGTTCCAGTAGTAGGGGTTGTCGAAGGCCTGGCTGAAGGGGCCGGGGGGAGGGGCCAGGTACTCGGGGTTCTCCACGGCGTGGCCGAAGGGCCCCGGGAACGGCAGCTTGGGGTCCTTGATGAGCCCGTTCTTGCCCTGGTGCCCCTTGGGCTTGTCCGGCGGGGACAGGGGCGCGCGGGGGGGACGCTCCCCGGCCTGGTTCACGTACTCTGCGGGGAGAGAGACACGTCAGGGACCCTCTGAAGGGGATGGGGTAGGCAGACTCTCTCTCCTGCCCCCTGTGGGGGTCCCACCGTGCCCTCCCTACCTGGCATGGTGCTGTGGGGGGCCGTGGCGGTGAAGCCCTCGGGGTCCTCGCTGTCCTCGGCCACCAGCCCGGTGGGATCCTCGCTGTACCGGGGCAGGGGGCCAGGCTCCCGCCCCGGAGGGCTCTGCAGGGCTGCCTTGACCCCCCCCTCCCCCTCTGGCACCTCTGGCATGGGGCTCTCCGGCCCCTCCACCAGGCCCTGGGCGGGGAAGGGGAAGGAGGACAAGCCCTCGCCCTCCTCCACCTTGGCCGGAGACTCTGCCGTGCTCTGGGAGCGGGAGAGGACACGGAGTCACCCCGAGGACCGTCCCGGTCTCGTGGGGTCACCCCACGCCTGTGCCAGGAGCAGGGGGGTCCCTCCCTGCCCCAGCCCACCCCGTACCCGCACGGAGGAGATGCGGCTGCGGTAGGTGGTGGAGGTGTCGGCGCTGAAGAAGCCGTGGTGAGGCACCAGGTACTCCTCGGCGTCCACCAGGTCATCCATGTCCTCCTCCTCCAGCAGCGCCCGGTAGAAGGTGCTGTCCATGGAGCCCGGCAGCCCCGCCAGGTCGTTCTAGGCGGGGGCACACGCCGGTCAGTGCCCACCCCGGGGTGCTGGCAGGACGGACAGGACCCCTGGGACCCCCAAGGACCCACAAACCTGGATGACCACGAAGCGCTGGGGGTCGCGGGCCATGCGGGAGAACTCTGTGACCAACTCCCGGAACTTGGGCCGGCACTCGGAGTCGATCATCCAACCTGGAGGGCAGGGAGCCATCAGGATGCACCCTCAGAGCCCTCCCTGTCCCTGCTCCCTCCTTTTGATTGTGTGTCCCCGTGCTGCCCCACGTCCCCTCCCGTACATTTCACCATGATCATGTAGACGTCGATGGTGCAGATGGGCGGCTGCGGCAGCCGCTCCCCCTTCTCCAGCAGGTCCGGGATCTCCCGCGCGGGGATTCCGTCGTAGGGCTTGGCCCCGAACGTCATCAGCTCCCACACCGTGACACCTGGAGGGGGCAGGGGCATGGGTGGGGGTGAGCAGTGCCCTGGGGACCCTCCCTGCTGCCCCTGGGGGGGGGCACACCCCGAGGTACCGTAGCTCCAGACGTCGCTCTGGTGCGTGAAGCGCCGGCGCAGGATGGACTCCAGCGCCATCCACTTGATGGGCACCTGGCACGGGGAGGAGAGGGAGGTGAGCAGGGCTGGGGGCTGGCTGGCACCGAGGTGCCCCCCACGCTGTCCCCGTGCCCCCACCTTGCCCCCATCGGCGTGGTACTCGGTCTCATCGATGTCGAGCAGCCGAGCCAGCCCGAAGTCCGTGATCTTGACGTGGTTGGGGCTCTTGACGAGGACGTTGCGAGCGGCCAAGTCGCGGTGCACCAGCCTCACCTCCTCCAGGTAGCTCATCCCCTGTGGGTGGCACACGTCTGGCTGTCCCTGGCCTGCCCCAGGACCACCAGCTCCCCCCCCAGATCCCCTCAGACCCCCTGTCCTACCTTGGCGATCTGCACACACCAGTTGAGCAGGTCCTGGGAGCCGATGTGGTCCTTGTTCTCCCGCACGTAGTCCAGGAGGCAGCCGTAGGGCATCAGCTGCGTCACCAGCTGCACCGTGGAGGTCAGGCAGATGCCCAGCAGCCGGGACACGTAGGGGCTGCCCACCCCCGCCATCACATAGGCCTCCTGTGGGCAGGGGGTGGTCAGGGTGGGGGTCAGGACGGGCAGGGGCTGCTCCTGGCCTGACCACAACCCCCCACCCCCTGGCGGTGTCGCTGCCACACTCACATCCAGGATCTCCTTGTTGGCTTTGGGTGATGTGTTCTCCCGCAAGACCTTGATGGCCACCGGGATCTTCACGCTCTCCCCATCGGGGATCCAGATGCCCTGAGGGTGGGGGAGGACAGACACACACACAGGTGAGGGGGGCGTGGAGCAGGGAGGGTCCCGCCCCACCACGGTGGCCCTCCCCGCCCCCTCACCTTGTAGACGGTGCCAAAAGCACCAGAACCCAAAACTTTCACTTTCTTGAGCTCCGTCTCCTTCAGGATCCGCATCTGGGCTTGGTTGGGGAGGGCCCCGCTGGGCGTCAGTGGCTCCACCAGCTGCGGGGCACACAGGGGTGAGGGGGGCCGGCTCCTGGCACCCTCTGGGCACTGGGGGGGTCCCCCATTGTCCCCCCAGGAGGTCCCACCTCGGTCTCCTGCAGCAGGCGCCTCATGGTGTGCTTGCGCTCCTGCTGCCGCCGGCGCTTGACGCAGATGACGGTGATGAGGAGCAGGACGATGACCAGCAGAGCCCCCACCACGCCGGCGATGATGGACGTCACCTGGCTGCGGGGCAGGGGGGGCGTTGGGGGCAGGATGGGGTGATGGGGGACCTCCCAGCACCCTGAGGGGGTGGGGTCAGGGTGGGGCAACACCCCCACGCTCCTACCTCGGCTTCTGGTCCACGGGACACCCGTCCTCGTCCCGGATGGTGCACCTGGGGACACAGCGTGTGGCACCCCACCGTCAGCAACCCCTGCTGAGAGCTGTGACCCCTCCTCCCCTGCCCAGCCAGGGACCCCCTCTGGACTCACGAGTGGGTGCAGTTGGTGGGGCAGAGCTGGCACACCCCATCCTCGTCCGGGTATTTCCAGACGGGCACGAAGGAGGCGTCGGCCTTGACCCCGCTGGGGCAGCGCCGCACGCACTGCTGGGCGTCCTTGTAGTGGGCACAGGCCACGCACTGGTCCGGCTCCTGCGGGAATTTGAGGGTGGGTTGAGGCACCCAGGGGTCTGGGAACACCCCCTGTGCCACCCCCTGTGTGTGTGTGTTCCCTCCCCTCACCGATCCGAAGCAGGTCTCGGTGCCGTTCTGGGGCTGGCACTCGGGGTGGCACGGCAGGCACCGCGTCCCGTTGGCGTGTTCCCGGATGGCTCTGCGGGGACAGGGCATGGGGATGGGGTCCTGGAGCCCTGCGCTGTGCTGTGCTGGGGGGAGGGGGCTCTGTTTGCCCTTCCCGGGGGTCTCCACTCACCCATCCAGGAGGTTGCAGGAGGCCACGCACTCCTGGCCGCGCAGGAACCGCTCGCAGGCCACGCACTGGGTGGGGCCGGGGCCCCAGCAGTGCCCGTGGGCGCAGAGGTGGAAACAAACCAGCCCCTCGCTCTCTGCAGGGGGGGACACCGTCAGCACCAGGGGGTCCATCAGCCCCGGGGGGGGTCCATCAGAGATGGGGGGTCCACCCTCTCCCCCCACCCCATCGGGCACCACTTACCACACTGCTCAGGGGGCTTGTTGTGCGTCTGGAAGAGGCGCTGGCGGGGGTTGCGGAAGATGCTGTCCCAGGGCACCTTCTGGAGGAAGCAGAGCTGGGGGTTGTGGTGGACGAGCACCATCCCACTGCTGATCTCCTGCAGGGCCCGCAGCCCCAGCGCCTGCACCGCCAGGTCCCGCAGCGTCAGCGAGTAGGCGCCGCTGCCGAGACACCCACGGGTCACACACGCGGCCCCCCTGTCACTCTGCGTGTCCCCCCACATCCTCCCTGTGTCCCCATGCCCCCCTATGTTCTCCATGTGTGTCCCCATATCCCCCCCATCTCCCTGTGTCCCCGTGTCTTTGAGTTCCCCTGTGTCCTTCCTGTGTCCCCCCGCATCCTCACATGTCCCCATGTGCCCCTGTGTCCCTCTGCATCCCCCCATGTCCCTGCGTTGCCCTCTGTGTGTCCCCTCATGTTCCTGCCCTGCCCCCCCGCCGTGTCCCCATCCCCCTCACTTGTGC